CCATCCTGCATATCAGATATTTACATTACGATTCATAACAGTAGCAACATTAGAGTTATGAAGTAGCAACAAAAATAATTTTATGGTTGGGTCACAACATGAGGAACTGTATTTAAAGGGCCAGAAGGTTGAGAACCACTGTTCTGGACAACAAATCAACAAGGAAACAGAAATCTTAAATGACACTCTAGAATAGATGGAATTGATATTTTCAGAACATTCCACCCCAAAGCTACAGAATATACATTCTTCTCAACTGCACATGGGACATGTTTAAAGATAGACCACATATTAGGACATGAGCTAACTCTCTACAAATTCACGAAGATTTAAATCATATCAAGCATATTCTTAGACCATAATGGCATGAAATTAGAAATCAGGTACAATAAAAATACTCAAAAACAATCAAATACATGGAGGCTCAATAGCAAGCTATTAAATGAGTGGGTTACCAAAGAGATCAAAGAAATAAAAAACACCATGAAAACAAATGAAAATGAACACACAATAATACAAAACCTCTGGGACACAATGAAAACTGTCCTGAGAGGGAAATTCATGCACTAGAGGACTATCTCAAAAAAAGCAAAACAACAACATCAATAACAAAAACCTACAAGGAAGACTGGTAATAAGTTATCTAACTACAACTTAAAGAATTAGAAAGAGAACAACAAGAAAAGACCAGAACAAGTAAAAAGAAGGAAATAATAAATAGATGACTGAGATACCAAAAAACAACAACTATAATACAAAAGATCAATAAAACCAAGAGCTGGTTCTTTAAAAGGATAAATAAGATTGATGGTCCTCTAGCCAGGCTAACCAGAAAACAAAATAGAGGACCCAAATAAACAAAATCAGAAATGAAAGCAGAGAAGTAACCACTGAAACCACAGAAATAAAAAGAATTGTAATAAAATACTATGAATGACTTTATTTCAACAAATGGGACAACCTGGACGAAATGGACATATACCTAGAAAAATATAACCTTCCAAAACTCAATCAGGAAGAATCAGAAAACCTGAATAGGCAGATAACTGCTGATGAAATTGAAGCAGTAATAAAAAAAATTTCTAGCAAACAAAAGCCCCAGTCGAGAAGGATTCACAGAGGGGTTTTACCAAATATTCAAAGAAGAACTAATACCCCTATTCCTCAAACTATCCCCAAAAATTCAAAAGGAAGGAACACTTCCAAACTCTTTCGATGAGGCCAGAATCACTCTAATTCCAAAACCAGATAAATACACCACAAAGAAAGAGAACCACAGGCCAATATCACTGATGAACATAGACGCTAACATCCTCAACAAAATTTTAGTAAACCGGATCTGGCCATACATTAAAAAGATTACACATCATGACCAAGTGGGATTTATTCTGGGGATGCAAGGCTGGCACAATAGTCACAAATCAATAAATGTGATACATAACATAAACAAACTGCAAGACAAAAATCGCACATGGGACATGTTTAAAGATAGACCACATATTAGGACATGAGCTAACTCTCTCCATCATATCAATCAATGCAGAAAAAGCACTTGACAAAACCCAACACCCTTTTTTGATAAAAAATCTCCACAAAGTGGGAATAGATGGAACACACCTCATAACAAAGGCCATACATGACAAACCTACAGTCAACATCGTACTCAAAGGGCAAAAGCTAAAACCATTTCCCCTAAGAATAGGAACAAGACAGGGATTCCCTCTTTCACCACTCTTATTCAACATAGTTCTGGAAGTCTTGGCCATAGCGATCAGACAAGAAATAAAAGGCATCCAAATAGGAAAGGAGGAAGCAAAACTCTCATTATTAGCATATGACATGATACGGTACATAGAAAACCCCAAAGATTCCATCAAAAAACTACTAGATTTAATAAATTAATTCAGAAATGTAGAAGGATACAAAATTAACTTTCAAAAATCCATAGCATCTTTATACACCAATAATGAACTCTCAGAAAGAGAAACTAAAATAAGATCCAATTTATAATTGCAAAAAAAAATTAAGATTATTAGGAATAAACTTGACCAAGGAGGTAAAAGACCTGTACTCTGAAAACTACAGGACATTGAAAAAAGAGATAGGAGAAGATATAAACATGTGGAAGAATATACCATGTTCATCGATTGGTAGAATCAACATCATTAAAATATCCATACTACCCAAAGCAATCTATAGATTCAGTGTAATCCCTACTAAAATACTAACGGCATATTTCACAGACCTAGAACAAACTCTCCAAAAATTTACATGGAACCAAAAAAGACTCTGAATAGCTGCAGCAAACTGGAGAAGGAAGAACAAAGTTGGAGGAATCACAAAACCAGATATCAAGTTATACTACAAAGCCACTGCACACAAAGCCTGTTATTGGCACAAGAATAGGCATGTAGATCAATGGAACAGAACAGAGAACCCAGAAATCAACCCAAGCCTAATTTTGCTTAATTAATATTTGACAAAGGAGGCAAGAGCATACATTGGAGCAGAGATAGTCTCTATAATAAATGGTGTTGAGAAAATTGGACAAGTATATGCAAAAAAATAAAACTAGATCACCAACTTATACCACACACAAGAATGAACTCAATGTGGATATAAAAGATTAAAATGTAAGATGTGAAACCATAAAAGTCTTAGAAGAAACCGTAGGCACCAAAATCTCAGACATCTCTCATAGCAATATGTTTACCAATACATCGCCTAGGACAATGGAAACTAAGGAGAAAATAAACAAATGGGACTACATCAACATAAAAAGCTTCTGCACAGCAAAAGAAATCATCATCAAAATAACAAGAGAGCCTACTTGGCAAACATATTTGCCAAGGATACATCTGATAAAGGGTTAATCTCTAAAACATATAGGGAACTCAGGCAACTTAACAAAAGGAAGACAAACAATCCAATTAAAAAATGGACAAAGGACCTAAATAGACACTTCTCAAAGTGGACATACAGAAAGCCAAGAGGCATATGAAAAAATGCTCAAATTCACTAATCACCTGAGAGATGCAAATCAAAACGACAATGAGATATCACCTCACACTTGTCAGAATGACTATCATCAACAAATCAACCAATGACAAATGTTGGTGATGTTGTGGAGAAAAGGGAACCCTAATGTACTGCTGGTGGGAATGCAGACTGGTGCAGCCACTGCAGAAACAATATAAATTTTCCTCAAAAAATTAAAAATGGAACTCCCATTTGACCCAGTCATCCCACATCTAGGAATATACCATAAGAAACCGGAAACACTAATCAGAAAGAATATATGGACTCCTATGTTCATAGCAATGCAATTTACAATAGCTAAGACTTGGAAACAGCCTAAGTGCCCATCAGCAGATGAGTGAATAAAAAAGCTATGGTACATTTACACAATGGAATACTATGTGATAATAAAAAAAGAACTCTTACCATTTGCGACAGCATGGATGGACCTGGAGAGTATTATGCTGAACGAAATAAGCCAGTCAGAGAAAGGTAAGTATCACATGATCTCACTCATATGCAGAATCTAATGAACCAAATACACTGATGATCAAAAATAGACCCAGAGATATAGAAGCATGAACAGACTGTTGAACCTCAGAGGGAAGGCAGGAGAGGGTGGGCGGGAAGAGATCAACCAATGAACTTGTATGCATATATGCATGACCTGTGGACATAGACAATGGGGTGGTGAGGGCCTGGGGCACAGGAGAGGGGGGGAGAGGGGAGGGCAGAGGACGGGAGTGGGCTGGGAGTGGTTAACGGGAGAAAAAAGATAACCTATGTAAGACTTTCAACAATAAATATATATTTTTTAAATGAACAACATATCACAACATGGATGAATCTCACAAACAAGTTGAGGAGAAAAACAGGCAGACACAAAGTAATTCAAAGTACAAAATCCATTTATGTCAAGTTTTTTGTCTGTCAGCACTAACTTATAGTGTCCAAATACTGAAAAGCAGTTCTACGTGGTGGGAGGAAGTGGTGGTGAAGGAGGTGGAGTACAAAGGGGTCTCTGAGATACTGATAATGCCCAGTCTGCCCTCCATATCCACAGGTTTCCCATTCACAGATTCAATGAATCACCACAGATCAAAAATATTCAGGCCAGCCAGGACAGCTCAGTCTGGTTGAGCATCACCCTTTGCACTGAAAGGTCATTGGTTCAATTCCCAGTCAGGACACATACCTGGGTTGCAGTTCAATCCCCGGTTGGGGTGCATACAGAAGGCAACAGATCAATGTTTCTGTTTCACATCAGTTTTTCTCTTCCTCTCCCCTCCTCTCTGTAAGCATGTCCTCAGTTGCAGATTAAAAAATATACATTTGGGAAAAAAGTTCTGTTGTTGCTGATGTGTACGTGTAGTTAGGCCTAGGTTGGTTGCATCTGTGCTGAACATGTACAGACATTTTTCTTGTCATTATTCTCTAATAAATTCAGTATAATACCTATTTGCATAGCATTTGCATTGTGCTGGGTATTATAAGTAATCTAGAGATGTTTTAAAGTATATGGAAGGATGTCCACAGGTTATATGCAAATACTACACAATTTTATGTAAGGGATTTGAGCATCCATGAATTTTGGTATCCCCAGGAAGGTCTTAGAACAAATCCCCGTGGATACCAAGGAATGACTGTTATTTCTTGACGTGGGTGGTAATTGGATGGAGAGGTTCACTTTGTGAAAATTCCTAGAGCTCTACCCATAATGATTTGTGTATCTTTTGGTTACACTCCTTAATAGAACCATTTATATAAAGACCTAAAGAATCACAAATTCCTAGGAAATTAGTTATAAATATGTAAAGAGTTATATTCCCTTTTGCCACCAGAAAAATTGCAATGCCGAATAAGTTGTTTAGAAATAAAATGAAACAGACTTGCATAGAGGAAGCAATGACAGCAGCTTTTACTATGCCTTCAAGCTGAGTTATTACAACTAAATTATAGGACTTTAAATGTTTTAGTAGACTGTTTGCTTCGGCAGCACACCTACTAAAACTGGAGCGATACAAAGATTAGCACGGCTTCTGCGTAAGGATAACATGTAAATTTGTGAAGCATTCCATATTTTTAAAAAAAGTTTCAGTATACAAATACAAAAAGAGAAGCAATTTGCACAATTTAGTTGTAAAAGGCAATGTGGTATAGGTGAAAGCCAACTGAATTTCAACCAAATTATGTGTTAGAGACTAAGGAAAAAGAATCCCACCTAACATTAATCAAGCACTTACTATATGCCAAACAAGGAGATAGGATATTTATATTTATTTTCATTTTATATGAATACAGTAGTCTTATGAGGTAGTTGCCATTGTTATACCCATTTGACAGAATTTAAAACTGAGACTAAGAAAGGTTAAATACTTTTCTCATTCTCCCACAGCAAGTAGATGGCAGGGCAGCATTTGACCTCAGACCTGATTGACTCTTAACCCTTTATATTCATCAGTGGTGAAGTTGGGCAAGTCATCTCTGTAAGCCTTAGACTCCTTTTCTGTAAAATGGGAGGGTCTTCCCGGATTTGCTGAGTGGCCAACTGTGGTTGTGTTCATTGTTTAGATTGGAAAGGGCAGGCTAAAGATAAAATCCTTTCCAGAGCTAAATCCAGAGGAAATGATAGCCTCAGTGCCAAGAATCTTCATTCGGGCAGTGTTCACCAACTTGCCTAATCAGAAGAACCAGTAAAAACCACCTCTGCTAACAATACACTATAGCTGTACTGGCCACAGTCTTCAGAGCAGGACCTGGGAAACTGTTACTATACTGACTTTCCTCCAACCCACAGTGATTTTTCTGTTCAGTAATGGTTTAGAAAAATAGACTACGGATTTCAAAAGATTTAGACAAGCTTCTCAGAGAGACTATGTTTATCTTGACTCTTAAGTCATGTTGAAAATATAAATCATGATCCAACAAATGCTTTTCTGCAGGGATCTATGGTAGGATCTCGTCAGGATCTAGGTAATCTGTTTTCTGGTGATTTAATATAGGGACAAAACTTGAAAATCTAAAGCATACAAATTTGCCACTGGCAGATAAATCAGTCCTGGCGCTCTCATGCACAGCGTAGTGATTATAGTCAATTATAACTAACTAGAGTCCTGATGCATGAAATTCATGCAAGTATAGGCCTTTCTTCCCCCGGCTGCTGGAACCTGCTTCCCTCTGGCACCTGGGACCCAGGCTTCCCTCACAGCCCCAGCTTTGTCCGGAAGGTTGTCCAGAAGGAAGTCTGGTCTAATTAGCATATTACACTTTTATTATTATAGGTTATAAACTTCAAAGTGGTTAAGAGACTAGATCTTAGCTGTTCTCAAAGCAAAAAGGAAATGATGTCATGTGACTAGAGAGATGTGTTAGATAATGCTCTGGTGGTAATCAAATTGTAACATAAATTTATCAAATTAACACACTGTACATCTTAAACTTACAGTGTTACATGCTAATTGCATCTCAGTTAAAAAAGAATTAGCATGCCATTTATTTTATTTTTTAAAATATATTTTTATTGATTTTTTTACAGAGAGGAAGGAAGAGGGATAGAGAGAAACTTCGATGAGAGAGGAACATCGATCAGCTGCCTCCTGCACACATCCCACTGGGGATGTGCCCGCAACCAAGGTACATGCCCTTGACCGGAATCGAACCTGGGACCCTTGAGTCTGCAGGCCGACGCTCTATCCACTGAGCCAAACCGGTTAGGGCAGCATGACATTTAGAATCTTACTTTAAATAGGTCTTAAGCAAGTTATTCTTTTAAGAAGGTGCTGTACTCCCATCAGTTAACCATTTTATTTTCTAACATGAATGTTTAGGCCTGGCCAGGTGGAGCGTCATCCTGTACACCAAAATGTTGTGGGTTCAATTCCTAATCAGGGCACATACATCGGTTGCGGGTTAGATCCCTGGTCAGGGTGGGTACTGGAGGAAATCGATGGATATTTCTCTCTCACATCAAAGTTTCTCTCTCCGTTCCTCTCTCTAAAATCTATAAAAAGCATATTCTCAGGTGAGAATTTTAAAATATGTTTGGTATAACGAAACGTTTGTGGTTAAAATCACATCCATTTTCTTTCAAGGCACTACAGAGGGACATTTCCATCTGTATTGAACGTTTAAATGACAGGCTGATTCAGAAAAGATATAAAAATTAGGTTCTGCCAATATTTTCTCTAGAAAAGTACTTAAGAATTTCTGCTTGAAGTACTTGATTAAGAAGACAGTTTTTCAAAACTGCAAATACAGGTGATGTGATTTTCTGCTAAGCTGATGTTATCTAACATACTATTTCAGGAGTTCAAGAGTTCAGGGCCCAAGGACAATATGAGATATGGGAGCACATTGAGAGAATTCCAGAGACAAAATGTTAAAAAATGTGCCTGCTTCCCAATTTTACAGCCAACCCCAGCCCAGCCAATCCTAAAATCCCTGCTTAGGGACAGCATTTGTGACATTTGCCAAGCCTGTCTAGTATAGAACATTCTAGAAGGACATAGAATATCTTGAATAACAAGTAAACATGAGCTTGAATACATGCAGAGCAGCAACGCCTTATATTTAAAACACAATAAAATGCAAGACAGAGTGGACACCAGGTATAGGGAAACTGCTTCTCATGACGGACTTTCAGCAGCTCTCAAGAAAAATGATCAAAGTTGCAAAAGATTTTAACAAACCAGAGGCTTTGGAATGATCAAGAATAGGGGATAAGTAAACACAAATGTGGGAGAGAGGAATCTCTTAGGAAAAACCATGTTTTCGTAGACATGGTGACGGGGCAAAAACAAAAAAGAAAAACTGCCTCTCCTCTGAGCCCTACTCAGCTCAATTAGCACCATGTCGTGGCTGGAGAGCAGAGAGCTAGGCTTGGCAGCCAGACACAGAGGATGCAGATAGAAGAGCACTCACCCTTAGGAGCCCTTTCAGGCTGCTGCTGACACGGGGTGTTGTGTACCTGGGCATTAGGATAATAATTACCATGTTTGGAAATGGTCAAATGTTTTAGGAATGTGCCTCTATTAAACCACCTTACATAACACTGAGAATAAATCACTCTGCATCCTTAATTCTGTGACATATGACATTTCATACTTAACAAAAGGTGAAGCCACAAACCCCCCTACCCCCAGAGCCATGCAAGAACAGTCCACCTGAATGTACTTAATCATGGGTGGGCTTGGGCTGCCTTCCACGTTCATGCTCAAGAAGAAGACTTCTTGCTCCATTGCAGTCTGAGGCTCCTGCCAAAGTCCTAAGTCCAAAGTGATCAGGCTGTGCCAGGAGTGATATGGATTCGGTGAGAATAAGTGTGAGTGTGGCTAGATGAAAAGAGGAGGCCAACATTGGGCACATTGAATTAAACCTAATGTTGACGTACTTTTCTGGTAAACACACATTCAGACAGAATGACAGCTATCCTATTTCCATACCCTATATTGCTAATAATTAATGAAGCAGTACTGAAATGAGCCAAAATGATCTCTGTATAGAAACCCTTTCTCATCTGAAAGCCTGCTAAGGAAGAAATGTTCATGTTAAAATGTTTCTGTATATATATTTAAAGAAAAAAGTACTCCTGAAAACATTTTTACCCTGCTATGAAAAATAAAGTGCTATGAAAAATAAAATGCATTTTACTCATCGTTTCCAAACTTAGGCCACTTCTCTTTAGGGAGAAGGCACACCTTTAAAATAGCAATTTTTCTAGAGATCACACATATTTCGTTTGTATCTGCTCAGTCTGTTGCAAGAATAAAAACTCTTTCAAAAATGTATTTAAATGGAGAGCATGCATTTGTAAAAGTATAGGCAATGAATCTCAACCTAAGATTTTTATTCAAACACACTGTGAAAACAAGATTTGCAACAGATAAGCACAACATAATTTCCTGGAATTCTCTTGCCTTCAATTGTGTGAAGAACTCATAAAAGGAAATGCAAGTCCAATGAAGCTTTAATGTCCCCATATTTAATTTTCTGTTAAGCAGAATTCCAAAAGAAAGAAAAAGTATCACAAAAACATATAGCACAAGTGCACTTAAATCCACCCAACACATTACAGATGACAACAAATTAAAATGCATTGTGTATTTTACTATGCTCAGTAGTGTCAAGGGCATCAGCCAACTGATCTGATAATCCATTAAACTATGTAGAAGAAGCTTTCCACTTAGATGAGAGCTTTGGGTGAACGGCATGCTGCAGCAATTTAGCATCACAAATATATTTATCAGAAAGCTACTCAAGTATTGCTGTGCTATTGGCACTTCTAGAGAAAGCTGTCTTGTTGATAGGTTTTGGTGTCAAAGAGAGGCTGTTTAATGAGAGATTATAAATGTTGATTTCACTAACAGATTCAGAACAGTATACACGTTATAGTAACCAACCTTTCCTTGCACGTCACTGAGTTAGATTTCAATGGGATCCAAACACCAGGATTTTTCAGGCAAGTTTTTTAAAATATATTTTTATTGAATTCAGAGAGAGAAACATCAATGATGAAAGAGAATCATCGATCGGCTGCCTACTGGGGATTGAGCCCACAACCCGGGCATGTGCCCTTGACTACAATCAAACCTGGGACCCTTCAGTCTACAGGCTGATGCTCTATGCACTGAGCAAACCAGCTATGGCTCATGCAAGTTTTGAAAGACTCTGGGCAATAATATTTTGGAGGTTCTTATTTCTTTTCTCTAGAAGAGTTGATGTTTTTGAGAATTCAAATGAAAAATCACAGCATAAGAGACCAGAATTCTTACATATTTTGTCTTTATGGAACTGCCTACCCACCAATCCAAAGAGAAGGCTTCTTCTCAAATAAAGCTTCCAATGGATATAATCTGACAATCCACAAGGGACTTGAATGCACTACAGAAGTAGAAAGACAGCCCTTGGCCTCAAAAAGACCCACAGAGAAACGGAGGAGGAGAATGAATAAGCACATGCAGGTATCTAACATTTACACAGGCATATGCATAATAGGCAGCCCACACACAAGACAAAGTTTAATATGTTTTTTTTACGAACAGTACACCAGGCTCAATCTGACATACACTGAATTTTCTACATGCACAGGTGCTAAGGATAGGTGGCTCTCTTACTGGTTAATCCGGTTGCATTTTTTATACTCTTGTGGGTGAATGGAGGATAGCATATTAATATGGTTCCAAAAATAGAAAAATGAATCTGAACCTAAACACCAGCTGGAAAGAAGACAAATGTCCTAAAGCCAGTTGTAAAATTGAACTTTACAAAAGAGCCTCAAGTGGGTATACTTCTAACTAGACCACATTTCCAGCTTAGAAAAACAAATAGCGGCCTCCTCCACAGAAGCATCAGCATAAATAATAGAAGCTTGGAGATATTTCCTAAATAATGAAAATTCCTGACAACCCATTATTTTCAAGTGACTTAAGAGAATGCGGATAACTTCAAAAGAATTCTATATATAACGTCACATACACAGAGGGTTCAAGCTTCCCACAAATATGCTTATAGGTAGGTACGTGCTTGCTTTAGAAAAGTTTCTTTGAAACTTAGGATTTTTCACATTAGTATCTTCCCTTGCCATTCACAGATTATAAATGAGAGGGGTGCCTATTTCTTATTTCTGTTATCAATTAACTTCCTTTAAAATGTAAGTATGGACTGGGGTGAAGTTTTCCGATTCAAGTTTAATTAAGCCATATACATGCTAGATATCTGAAACCTCTTTCTATTAGAATATAGGCAATACTCAATTCAATTGCTGATCATTAATGTCAGGATTTATTTCTGAGCATCACAACACACAATCAACTTTGCAATGCCATAATGCCTTTCTGGAACTGAAAAGAAACATTGCCTGCAGACAGACACACCTGAACTTAATTTTAATTTATGGAATGTATCTAAATTGTTGAACCTGGGGTTATTAGTTTGTACTACTTCATAAGGCTACATGTTTTATATGTAAATGAAATGTTTAGAACATGTTTCCTTTAGGCCAAAGCAGTTTACAAGTACATTTATCTCATTCATACTTTCAAATCTGATAGACACATTTCTACACATTTGCCTTTGTGTATTGAAAATATTGTCCTAAAGTCTGTGCTCAAATAAAATCCTTTTATTCCTTTGATAATTTCCTAGTTCATAAAATAAACATATTAAAATAATATTTAATACCAGTGTTATAAGGACTTAGCTTTCATTGTTGATTTTGAAAAAAACATAAAAATTACCATACTTTTTTTATAACTATAAATTCTTAATAGCGTTTCCATTTTAAATTCCTAGAAAAATCTCTGAGGAATGGTCAAACAGTCTTCATAGAAAATATTCACTTGAGAGTCTTCCTTTTGACCATAAACTTGTGCTGAAGATGTATCTCCTCAGATTATCTCTTCTGATTATCTCTCGCCTACTTTCATTAATCAAATCCCTTCATTAATTGTCCATTCACCAAACTACAGTACTTGGTTCTCTGCCTTATTTTCCCCAATAGGTTTATATTTGCTTTGCGGGGGGAGAACCAGGTCATTATTTTACCACATAACCTTAAAATACAAGACGCATCACATTGTGCCCTGTCTTAGAACTTAAGTGCTTTTGTTGGAATGATAAATGAATTATATGCCTTTTGTCAAAACTTAGAAAAAATAGCTAGAGATATTGCTCTTGAATTGACAAATGATATCTGATATCTAAATCCAAGTAGTACCAGACACACTATTAAAATTAATTAAAAATAGATGCATGGATTTCCCTTCCATTAGACAATCTGTACAGAAAGTCTAATCAAAATGAGGTTAAGATGACAGAAATTAATATACAAGAATTAGTAATACAAGCCCACGTAGCTATTCTGTTGAAGCAGTTCTGGAGTATAGAGACTCTACATATCCACATAAGACACACTTCACCTCTCTAAGAATAAAGAACTTCTAACTCTCATCACCTTGTTCCCTGCCCATTCAACTAGATTAAAAAATATATGTCAGCCCTAATCTAATAATCAGTATGCAATTGTTGGAAAAAATTTAGTTTATTATAATTCTTACACAAATTTAGACTCTGTTATATGGGTAAAGTCAACTGAAATACTCAAATCAACTTTGCTTAGGATGGTACTTTGGTTAGACATCTACATGGAAGGGTATTCTTTAGGGTTCCATTTTATGAAAACAGCTTTGATTTTGGGGAAACAGGTAGAGAAATAGTTCAGAAGAGACATGAAGAGCTGTGGAAACACTGGCAAGGCTGAGAACAACAACAAAAAATTAGAAGGAAGAGTTAGGTAAAGGTAAAATAGAACACCATTTTTGCACTATATGACGAGACCAGACCAGTAATTATATTTATGGCCATATTAATTGACATTCTCCCAACATTAATACATATGCGTATGTGTGGTGTGTATGTGTATCTATACACATCACTTTTATTATCACAGATAATCAAATTACAATTCAAGATTATTTAACATCAATTGGATGTAATTTTTGTAAACACTATTACTGATAATAATACCAAATTGAACTCAACACTACCCAGGAGTGCACAAGGCTTCTATGACTAATTGTATTATATTAATATCTGCTGCTGAACCCCTCTCTTCTGAACTTGTGATAACCTTTTATGAGCTGCTTCTAACAAGATAATGGCTTCAATTTTAATAGGAAATAATAAAGAGTATAATTTTTTAGCTTTTTATTTGCTGCTTCATGCACTGTACCTGATTCTTGAGATCCAGTTTGGGACATGGGCGGCCTCCATTGTAAGGTTTTTCTTTTAGCCATTTGGATCGAATTCTCACGCCAATCCCACAAGATGAACTACAAGACCCCCAGCTGGACCAATCGCTTAACTTGCAATCAAATGGGCAGGGGATGGCACATTCTTCTTGAATATAACCTGAGAGAAAAAGATCCAAGAGAAGGGAGGAAAGTCTGTTCAAAATGTACTGATCAAATTCACTTGCTATTATTAGAGCTCAGGTTGCTCAACAATACTGCCATAGGGACCTTGATAGTTTTCTACTCACATACACAGACAAAAGTTCTCAGAGGCAGATACTTATGATTATATCTGCAACCCAAATTTGTACCACCTGTTTACTTCACAGACAATTCTGGGATGGAAGGAGCAGGGAAAAGTACACACTTAGTTCTTTCTGATAAGAAGAAAAGAGGCAGTTCAGGGCTAATGATATCATTTCCTTCACTGGGCGTTGTGTCCCACCAATTCCTATAATTCTGTCTGGAGATAGGGAGCATAATAGAGTCAATCTGGATAATATTGAAAGAGGAAAATAGAGGCATAGTGAAAGGGCATCTAATGAGATATTGGACTGTAATCAAGTGATATGGATTGAAATACAGATGCATATGTTGTAGCTTTACTTGGTCTTGCTCTTGTCCTCAGCCCAGTTCTTGCTATCATCTTTCTCTAGATAATCTAATTATTTAACTATCACCTCAAATAATCACTATCAAATACATATTTCTAAGTCTGATATCTCGAATGAGCTCTTATACAACCTACTCATCCACTCAAGTTGGATGGCCAACTACCCCCAAATTCAACATGTCTAAACCTGGGGCAATTGATTTCCTCCTAAAGCAGTGGTTCTTAACCTTCCTAATGCCGCGACCCTTTAATACAGTTCCTCATGTTGTGGTAACTCCCAACCATAAAATTATTTTTGTTGCTACTTCATAACTAATTTTTCTACTGTTATGAATTGTAATGTAAATATCTGATATGCAGGATGTATTTTCAGGGGTCACTACCCACAAAGCATTCTAATTCTATTATATTCCTCATCTTAATTAACTACAACATATCTGATTTTTATACACTGATGGGCCTGCCTACATAACCTCTTCCCTTGGTTTTGGGCAGGATCCATGAATGTGCTAGGATGGCACTCCCATGATTAGGTTTTAGTGTGTAGCAAAGGGGAAAGGAACTCACATATAGAATTAACATGACAAATCAGTTGATTTTGAGTTTACTAGGAGAGAGATTATCGGGATGAACAGCTTGGATAATTGGGTGAAAAACCTTAGAAGAGTGACTGGGCCCTTTTTGTGGAGGAAGATTCTCCTGCTGGCCTTGAATAAACAAACAGGTGTGCTATGTGTGGCCACGTAGCAGGGGACTGAGAGCAATGTCAAGGGCCTGCGAGCAGCCACTGGCTGTCAGCCAGCAAGAAAACAGGCCTCAGCTCTACAGGCGTGTGGAGACGAATTCTGCCAATAATTCCAAGGGAGCCTCCCCCAGTGAAGCTTCTGCTAAGACCTCGGCCTTGGCCCACACGTTGCCTGTAGCCTGGTGAGAAACATAAGCAGAGAAACTGGAGAAACCACGTCTGTACTGCTGACCCTTGGGAGCAGAGCTAATGTTTTGAGCTAAGTCTGTGGTAAGTTTTTGATGCACCTACTGACAGCTAACAGATTATCCAAAATAAAAACCTGAGTCATCTTAGGTCTTCCTCTATTTTCTCGCACATATATTAATAGGTGCAATAAGTTCTTATGTCAAAATGTCCTAAATATGGCCCCTACTCCAAAATTCCTTTGTCAGTCCCTGGTTCAAGATCTCACTTTCTGGTCTGGAATACTGCAACGGTCTCTTCACTAGACTCCCCTTTTCCCTACACATTCTCTTTTAATATTGGTCAGTCACGTTGAGGAAAAAGTTTCTCTTCTGAAGCTGTATCAACTATAATAAAAAGTAAATTTAATAAACAATGTAAAAAAAAGAAAGATAAAAATACATGATTTATGCTACTCCTTTTAAACTCTTTGCTGACTCTCCAGTGCCTTGAAAATAAAGTGCCAACTAGTTTGCAAAAACTATACAATTCTTTACAAGAGCCTCTAAACAAGGGATTTCTTCTTGACTGTAAAATATATTCCTATTGCCCAGGACATTCCACAGACCAATTTGACCAGAGTCTCCGAGATGGATCTCGGCACTGGTACTTTTCAAAGGTCCCCCGGGGAGTCTAATGTGCAGTCAAGGCTGAGAACTGCATCCCTAACTTGTTTTGCTCCTGCCTTTCCCTCTCCTCTGTCTCAAAATCTGTCCACATAGACTACTCCATGTTCTTCAGTAATATTTATGCCTTTCCTCATGCAAAACTACTCTTTCTCTAGCCAGTTTAGCCTTGCTGGCTCATTTTTATTTTTATCTATATTTGTATATTGAATGATTTTAATTAGAGAGGCTCTAATACACTGTTTTATATTTTTCGTCCCGATAAGACATAAACCCAGAGGATCTCTATGAAACTCAAGGTCATAAATTCAATGAGTATAAAATAGTTTTGAAATTCAACAGCGCCAGTGACATTTATTTTTCAGGATAGTTATGTTCATGCTAGAGTATGCCCCAAAGGAAAGCCCTTCGTGAAAACTATTAATAATTGCATATTCTCATCCCTATCTCATAATTGAAAAGATTAGTTTACCCACATACTTGAGACTTACAATTTTTGGCAATAGAAGATGATCACATGTGGCTATGTACAAGGTTAACCTGCCAAATGAGAATTCAAATTCCTGACTATGGAAACTTCACTAATGTTTTAAAAACTCATTTGCATAAAATATATTACAGAATAGCTTCTCTGGCAAATTTCAAAAATATAAATCCAACTGATATAAAAGAAACTGTTTTTCTATGATATTTTACAGTCCTGGCCAGGGTGGCTCAGTTGGTTGGAGCACCGAAGAGTCCTGGGTTTCATTCCTGATTAGGACATGTACCCAAGTTGCAGGTTCAATCCCAGGTCTGACCGCATGGAAGGCAAAGGATTGACATTTCTCTCTCACATCAATGTTTCTCTGTTTCTTTCTCTTTCTCTCTTTCTCTCTCTTTCTCTCTCTTTCTCTCTCTCTCTCTCTCTCTCTCTCTCTCTCTCTCTCTCTCTCATCAAAAACATATTCTAGGCTGAGGATTTAAAAATATATATTTTTACACACTGTAAATCATATGCAGAATACATTGCTTGGACCATCATATTATTTAACCTGGAGATGTTTCCATCTTCTAGTTTAGTTACCTGTATGCATATGAAGTTAGATATGAAGTATTTATTACAGAATTATCAGTAGAGCATATACCCAACATTGTGATTTTTGTAAACCATATACATTACAGATAGCAGGTACCCAAAAATATCTGTTGTTATTATGAATACAGATGAACTAAATAAGACCTGTGATTATTATCTCTATCTATGTTATAATTAAAGGGCTTTATTTAATGACATACTCATTCAGGCTGAAGCCCAGAGACCTGGAATGGCTTTTCAATCTACATTGCTAACCTTAAAATATTGCTCTTTAGGTTAGGACATAGGAAAAACACAGCTCTATGTATAAGGCTGTCTTTGTAATGAAACTACTTCCTAGGATATTACCTACTGTAATTTTTTCCCTCCATCACTCAAGGACTAATACATTTTTCCCTCTATAAGAGCCTCTTTTGAAGGATAAGAAACACTGATGATATTCATAGCCTGAGGAAAAAAACCTAGTTTAATTTACTTATATTTTCCTACTGTGTAAAGTAATGGCAAATACAGTGCATGTTCTATTTGTTGGCACTTTGCTAGAATAATGAAAACACAGGACCAAAAATAAAACAGGAAAAATGAAGAAAATACTGATTGTCTCTTCCCCATTTCAAAGTGAAGATCTGGGAGAAATTTGTGAGTTAAAATAAAGTGATGTTTTCATTTCTCAATATTTGAAGATTTACTGTTTTAATTTACACACTTTTTAAAAATATATTTTATTGATTTTTTTTACAGAGAGGAAGGGAGAGGGATAGAGAGTTAGAAACATCGATGAGAGAGAAACATCGATCAGCTGCCTCCTACACACCACCTACTGGGGATGTGCCCACAACCAAGGTACATGCCCTTGACCGGAATCGAACCTGGGACCCTTGAGTCCACAGGTTGACGCTCTATCCACTGAGCCAAACCGGTTAGGGCAATTTACACATTTTAATACTATTTTTTATCTAGTAATGAATGTACCATACTAAAAAGTATCTGATGACTTACATCAAAGTAGTTTAAAGTATATATTTGTTTAGAAGAGGTGAGGAATATGAGGGTGGATGTTTTTGACATGGTTGCAAGAAAGACAATTTGAGAAATTAGATCAATACTTTGTATTCAAGGGAAGACTGGCAGTATTGGACATTTATTTAAAACTAGAGGCCCAGTGCACAAAATTTGTGCACTGGGGGGTGGTGTCCCCTCAGCCTGGCCTGTATCCTCTCGCAGTCTGGGAGCCCTCGGGGGATATCCGACTGCCATGGAGCCACTGTGCTCGCCAGCCGTGAACCTGGCTAAGGGCTTCTGGCTGTGTGGCACTCCCCCTGTGGGGGTACACTGACCACCGGGGGAAGCTCCTGCATTCAGTGTCTGCTGCCTGGTGTGCCATTCGGTCAATTTGCATATTAGCCTTTTATTATATAGGATATCAGTCCATTAGTGTGTGGAAATATAGATCAACCTCAGTAAGGTTGCCAGCTTGCTTTGGTGAATTTATATTTTCGCCTGAGAATACTGCCCATGAATATAGTTACATTCTTTCAAAGATGATCCCAACCCTGTATAGGCCTCTGTAAAGCCCAAGAGGAGAGAGTTGGAAAGTACCTACATTCCCATTATTTTTTCTTTTGAAAAATTTGAGTTATTAAAAGAAATATTTTGAAATCCCATTTGCGAGTAGAAAAATAATCTTTACTGCATATTTAAAACCTCATCAGCATAGACTCTCCAATGTTAACATTATAAAGTGATGGTTATGGCTGTATGTATCTTATTTGGACCCAAAATCAGGTACATGAAATACTGCTGATTTAGAAGTTACATAAAATTCAAATAA